CCCGCAACAAACCCAGCATCCAAAACCCAATTCAAAACCCCAACGAACAACGAGTCAGCTGTCGACTCAGACTAATACGGATACTGAAGCGCCCACTTGCTCAAAATATGCGACACATAAGCCACCGGAGAAAAACGACGTAAATAAAGTGTCGTCTCATTTTTCGAGAACTAACGTCACAACTCTCCTCCCCACGGCGATGGTACCTATGGATCAAGGCTCACAAAAAACGTTTGTATCATCCCGGATACAAAAACTCTTGCGCTTTCCGATGACAGATGCTCTATTCGAGATTTCTGGCATGGGTGGAATGGTGGTGCAAAACTCAAAGAAAATGTGCGAAATCACACTGTGCTCAACAGATAGAACCCAAGAGATAAAGACCCAAACCATTATTTTGCCCCAATTGACCCATTTTCACCCTACTTCAAATATATCTCATATTAACTTAGAAGAGATAAAACGATTGAGGCTCGCCGATCCCAACTGTTTCACCCCAAATAAAATAGATATGGTAATCGGCAGTGACCTAATCCCCCGAATTCTCCTACAAGGGCTGCAACAAAACATACGCGGAAGTCTCATAGCGCAGAACATGATATTTGGATAGATTCTGAGCGGCCCAATCCAGGAGAGGATCTCCACCTTTACCACCCAGGTGACCGAACCCCAGGAGGAATCGTTAAACTCACTGCTGAAGAAGTTTTGGGAACAGGAGGAAGTAGCTGTCACGCAACCCCGTTCAAGTGATGAGGACTTCTGTGAGGACCTGTACCGACGCACAACAATCCGGCAGGCAGACGGACGATACGTGGTGAAACTACCCATCAAACCCGAATTCCCAGACATCATGGCTCTAGGTCACTCTCGACTAGCAGCTTAGCAGCAGTACATCAGCATCGAAAGACCTCTGGAGAAAAAACCCGAACTTCGCAAAAGGTACTCAGAGGGTCTGGAAGAATATATCACCATGTACCACATGGAACCCACCTCATCCCAAGAAGTCATCAATGACGGTAAATACTTCTCCTTTTATTTACCGCACCACGCTGTCATAAAACCCGACAGCAAAACAATAAAAGTACACGTAGTCTTCAATGCTTCCAGAATATCGCACTCTGGAAACTCATTGAATGACGTGCTATACACTGGCATAACCCTTCAAAACGACTTGAGGTCATCATTCTCCGTTGGCGCCTCTACAAGTTCGTTTTTAATGGCGATATCGAAAAAATTTATCGCCAAATTGTCGTCCACAAGGAATATCAAGACTTCCAAAGAATCTACTTTCGTAGGTCCCCAAATAAGCCCATAGAAGATTTTAGGCTGAAAACAGTCACCTTTGGCGTCAGTTGCGCTCCCTATCTGGCAATCCCTACGCTTCATCAGTTGTCAAGACGAATTCCCGCTCGCCAGCAATATCCTCCTACGAGAAACATACGTGGACGATATTCTCTCAGGCGGGCGTAATATAAGCTCATTAACCCAAGTTAAAGACGCCCTAATATCTGCATGTTTTCCACTACGAAAAATCACCTCAAATCACCCAAAAATCCTGGAATCAGTCCCAGATTCCGAGGTCCTTGATGTTGATTTTCTCCAGTTTCAGGACACTAGCTCTAGAAAAACGCTAGGCATAAAATGGAACGCGCTAACGGACTCCTTCTCTTACACGTACGATCCTGTTCCCGCTACCAACTCGAGGACAAAACGGTAAATATTATCAGCGGTAGCGAAATTGTTTGACCCGGCAGGATGGCTAACGCTAATAATGATTTCCGCTAAAATGCTCGTTCAGCAACTATAGATGGAAGGAACTGACTGGGACGAGCACGTAAAACCCGGCGCTTTCCACAAATGGAACACTCTGCGCGAAAATCTCCCCGCGATTAATGAAATTGTTATTCCCGGCTGGGTGCAATTCTCCCCTACTCACCGTGTACAAGTACATGGGTTTTCAGACGCCTCTGAATAAGCTTATTGCGCCTGTGTCTACCTCCGAGTACAAATTGACGAAAACTCTTTCTCGTCACACATACTCGCAGCTAAAAGTAACTGCAAACAGTCATCCTCCCCCGACTTGAGCTCTGTGGAGCCGTCCTACTCTCCAAGCTGGTTAATCAACTCCACTCCCAACTAGATTTGCCTGCTTTGGTCAGATTCTTCCATTGTGTTGGCGTGGTTAGAAAAACCGCCACACACTTGGAAAACTTATGTTGCCAATAGAAATTCGCTCATACTACGAAATGTGAGCAACGCCACTTGGCGGCATGTTCCTGGTGCAGAAAATCCTGCCGATCTAGGCACCCGCGGATTCCATCCCCAGGATCTTGCGACGTGCGCATTGTGGTGGAATGGCCCCGCATGGCTGCGAAAACTCCCCCACTTTGTGGCCAAAAAACCCATCTCCACATTGGTCACCCCCAGAACAACGACGTATTGAGTCCCTGCACACGATTGCGAGTAATAACGTTTATGTATCGGTTTATACACGCAGCTAGAAAGCAACCGATACCCACTTCTCCCCCCTTAACGCACGAGGAAATAAACCAAGCCAAACTACGTATTATCGTTCAGACTCAAAGCCAGTACTATATCAACGAAATCAGCTCATTAAATGCAGGGAAATCTCTTAGCACAAAAAGCCCTTTACTGACTCTGAATGCGATGGTGGATAGAGCTGGACACCCGATCATAATTCCAAAAGATTCCAAGCTCTGTTCTCTGCTGCTCGACTTCCTCCATACCACTCTTCTCCACGCTGACAAACAACTCATGGTTCGAATGGTGCAGCAAGAATATTATATCCCCAGGCTGAAACAAAAGATAAAAAAAATCATCTTTCATTGTAAGGTCTGCACAATTTATAAACAAAAGATGCGGCCCCAGATATTGGCCGCGCTTCCTCCTGAAGGATCCACCTACACACTCCCCTTACATACCACAGGTGTTGATTTTGCTGGGCCCTTTCTTATGAAAACATCTATACTCCGGCGAGCTCCTCACGCTAAGGCGTATGTCTGTGTATTTGTGTGCTTCTCCACCAAAGCAGTATACTTAGAATTATGCTCAAGTCTGACCACTGAAGCGTTCAAAGCAGCTTTCACCCAATTTGTCGGCCGCCGGCTAATCCCCCATAAAATCATGTAAGACAACGGAAACTTTCGTAGCTGCGCAGCGAACGCTGCAAAGAGAATTCTCACAATTTCTCAAAGAATCGGCTACTGAGATCGCCGAAAAATACGCAACCCACGGATTCTCATGGCAGTTCATCCCACCATATGCTTCTCACATGGGCGGGCTATGGGAAGCTGCTGTAAAAAGCTTCAAAATCCATCAAAATCACCAGTTCACCTTCGAAGAATTCACCACCCTCCTTATCCGAATTGAAGCGGTGTTGAATTCAAGGCCGCTCTCCCCAATGTCTCAGGATCCCACTGATCTGTTGGCGTTAACGGCAGAACATTTCTTACGTGGTGCCCCACTACTCTCTTTGCCTGAACCCCCCTCGGAAACCCTCTCATTGACGAACAAATGGCAAAAATTGAAGGTTATTCATCAGCAATTCAGTAATCGCTGGAAAAATGAATATCTAAAAGAACTCCGAAAACGGCATAAGTGGAAGCGTCAGGAACCCAATATCAAAGAAGAGGATTTAGTTGTAATCAAAGAAGTCACCGATGCCCCCTAACTAATGGAGTTTTTCGAACTTTCTCATCCACAGGTACAGGATGGAGCCCAACCAATGCCGGCTGTGCTGTCGATTCCACTCCCTCCGTTTCTGCAACGCCTTCAAAGCGATGACACCGGACGAGCGGTACGAATCCGCAAGAGTTCACCGCTATTGCATCAACTGTCTGGCGACATCGCACAAAACCGGCGCTTGCGACTGCGCAGATAGCCGTCACCGGTGTGGAAAGGCCCACCATACCTTGCTCCACCACTCCACGTCACCACCTCCTGAACGTCGTCGCCATGAGCCGCCTCCAGTCGTCAGCCGTAGACGACCAACGCACGGTAGCAGCGTCGCCAAGAAATCCGTACCGGATCACGGTCGCAACAACGTTATCGAGTTTTAAAAACCATGTGTACATTTTTGAGATAGCGTAGATGTATAAATTGCGGGCGGCTGCCAGCATTGTATCACCATTGTGAATTAATTTGAAGTAAATTTGTTGTTGTTGTAATGAGGTCACGGTGTGGTCCGAGCCCACGATCATTTTTTTTTTTAATTTGGGTTTAGTATGGTTCCAACCATCGACGCAGCCGCACCGCTTAACGTACTACTTTGTATTTTCTTTAAAAGCCACTCGGGCAAAGAGGTTAATTCCTGTTCGTACGAATATCATATATTCCTGAATAAAATACTTTTTGCTTAATTAAATTGTATCCAAAAATCCAATCTGTTTTTTATTTCTTTGGATCCTCCTCACTTGGCGCACCCTGCGCCCTTACTACACCCATAAAAATCAACAGTTCGTTTACCACCTCGACGTGGTTGTAAGCCATGAAGAGTCCGCAAAATGTTCTTAAAAAAGTTCAATTACTTGGCAGTTGAGAAGTGCATGTGCAAAAATTTCATAAATCGCATAAAGGAAAATTTTGCACATGCAGCGGTACATAGCATGTATTTAGGCGCCTGGTTTTAGCAGACGCGCCTAAACATCGAATATATGTATTTTATATTTTGATTTCAGCGCCAATTTAGGGTAATATTTTGGAAATCTATGATTTATTATGTGTCAACTACATACTCCAAATTCGAACCAAACCGGACCATAAATATTATTTGATATATGACTCTCATTTTTTTTTCGCGGTAGACGCTCCGATGGAAACACCCATACATATGTATGTACTAATGAGGATTAAAAAACCACATTAAAATAATTCGATTCTGGCGACGCCCATGCGTTTTTATTCAATATGTATTAATATTTGTTGCATTTTAGAATTTTAACAATAAATAATTATGGTATTCGCATATTTTTCATTTACAGGAACATTTTCATTTGGTTCATATGCAAAATTTAAGTCGCAAACTATAACAGAGTTCATTGAAAAAGCAGTTGAGCACTCAAGAAGTGGACGGTTAGTAGTAAAACACAAAATTTGTTAAAAAGTAATAACTCTGTCTTCTAGGTACCTATTTTTTCTACATAGACGGCCGGAGCATGGACCCATGAGAGTGCAACTAACAAACCCGGTTTCTAGATTCAAGCATGTTCAAAGTTTACAACATATGTGCAGGTGGATATATACTTAATTTAACTACTTAAGGATAATAACATAAAATATTTTCGTTATTCTAAATTTCAGATTTGTTATCTTAAAAACCGTTATACGCAAAGACTTGATACAAACGTTGCCATTACCGAGAAGGATTTTAGATTATCTTAATTATAAGCATTGTTTTTCTGAGCAAATTGAAATTGATAATTTACATTCTCAGGAGAATAACTAGGCAAGGTTTATAAAGATCAAAATGTCGAAAAAGCATAAAAACACAAAGTAGAATATGTTCCAAAATAAGTTACACTGTAAAATTTTCAACCATAATTATAAATTTGTATCTATAATTCATGTCTCTATACATATAGTCATAGTATTATACACATAATGATGTAATAATCATATACAGGGTGTCCCAGAATTAACCTGCCAAACTTGAGGAGAAGGCAGGTGGGGTGGTGAGCTCCCTGATAAACAAAAAATTTTCAGGTAAAAGTGTTACCGTTTTTGAAATATTTAAATTTTTTTGAATTAAAAAAAATCGTGCCTTTTCATGTATTTTCTTTAACTGCATCTACAAACAAGGCTATACTTAGTAAATTTTTTATGTAAAATACTTTCAGATAGTTGCTTCTCCATATTCAAATGCAATGTAGTAAAAATATATTAAGAAACCATTATAAAATTAGGACTATATTGGGATTTTTAACTTTTTCATATTTTCTTCCCCAACTTTGACTATCTCTGGTGAAAAAAATGTACTGTCTGTATAACTTTACATTACATAAAAAAATTGCTCATTTAATAAATATTTCAGAAAGGTGCCACTCTTACTATTTCGAATAGAAAAAAAAGGTGTAGCCGCTTTTGTGGGTAAAGGACTGAGACACGCTAGAATGTATTGGTCTTGTTACCGAACAATGACATGCTAAATAGTACAAAGGTACATTATTACTTGCTCCTGACATTATTTTGTGTTACTCACCGGAAATAATGAAAGTGGATTTTGTGACATTGGACAATTCGAACATTGTGTTATTAATACTATGACAGAGAACACGCAGTATACGTCGCATGAACATGCGGATATTCACCTAATTTACGGTGAAGCTTGCTGTAATGTCAGAGCTGCTCAAAGACTCTATGCAGAGCGATACCCAAATCGTCGGCATCCGGGTCGTGAAGTGTTCCCCGCACCCATAGAGAAATATCTGAAGGTAAGTAATTTTCGGCCGCTGTGGTGTAGTGGTAAGCAGTGCGCGCTTTCACACATCAGCACCTGGGTTCAAGCCCTGGTCAAAGCAACATCTCAAAAAATATAGAAAACGGTTTTCTCTTAACAGCGGTCGTCCCTCGGCAGGCAATGGCAAACCTCCGAGTGTATTTCTGCCATGAAAAACGGCTTCTCATAAAAATACAATCGCCGTTCGGAGTCGGCGTAAAACTGTAGGTCCCTCCGCTTTGTGTGACAACAAGGCGCACGCCACAAGTCGGAGGAGAAGCTCGGCCAAGCACTAACATATGTGTAAGCGTCAATCTATTATTATTATTATTAAGTAATTTTTACGCCTTTCGTGTTTGAAGCCATTCTTCTTTTAACTATCATTATTACCTTTTTTAAGGTCGCATACCTGGAAGGCGTGGCGGCCAGACAGGACGTCCTGCAACGGTAGATGTTAAAGTTGTGTTAGAGGAAGTGGAACTAGGTCCATCGACTTCAGGGAGAATGATGGAAAGACGGACTGGAATACCATAAACTACAGTTCACAAAGCTTTAAAATACCATCCCTACCACATTCAACGTGTTCAGGCTCTACAAGAGAGAGACTACCTGTCGAGGGTTAGATTTTGCAGTGACATGTTGCGAATGCATGAATCAGACCCCAACTTTTTTATCAAAATAATCTGGAGCGATGAATCATCATGCAAACGTGATGGTTATTTTAATGTACATAACCTTCACAGTTGGCAGATAGACAATCCTCACGAAATGAGATAAGATCGTTCGCACAACCAGTACAAAATAAATTTATGGTGCGGTATTTTTAATTATCAGATATTGGAACCTGTGGAACTGCCGCCAACGCTCAACTCCCATAGTTATTTAAAGTTCCTTCAGGAACGGCTTCCAACTCTTTTAGAAGATGTACCCTTAAACCTGCGGCGAAGACTATAGCAAAATGACGGATGCCCTGCTCACTACGGGCGTAAAGTAAGAGCTCATTTAGGCGAAACTTATCCTCGCCGATGGATTGGATGATACGGGCCAATCACGTGGCCTGCTCGATCGCCAGACCTGAATCCATTCGATTTTTTCTACTGGGGCTGTCTTAAGGACATAATTTATTCAAAAATAATTCAAAACTAAGAGCATTTGCCGGAACAAATAAATGGATCTGCTGCTGAGACAGCCCAATTGAGTTTAAGATCTCTATAAGAGTATTTTTTTAAGAGGTGCCGAGCTTGTATTGGAGTAGAAGGTCGCCAATTTGAGCATATTTTATCAATAAATGAATAAATTTTTCTGCAAACAACTCATATATTTTTATTTCACGTGAACCCATCCTTCACAAAAAAACATGTCATTGGTCAGTAATAAGAGCAACTTAAATTTAAATCTATTAAATACATTCTAGCGTGTCTCAGTCCTTTACCCACAAAAGCGGCTATAACTTTTTTTTATTCGAAATAGTAAGAGTGGCACATTTCTGAAATACTTATTAAATGAGCAATTTTCACAAAAATTTAAATATTTCAAGAACGATGACACTTTTACCTGAAAAATTTTTGCTTATCAGGGAGCTCACCCAAACCCCCCCCACCTACCTTCTCCTCAAGTTTGGCAGGTTACTTCTGGGACACCCTGTATGTACTTCCATTCCTCAAAACTCGACCTAAATAACATATGGGGTATTCCATGGTGTCTAATTATGAAGCTATTTGTAAACAAAACCCTAATTAACTTAATTTATTACATTCTAGGTACATTAGAAACTAATTGAATATGTTTAAGTATATATTTTAATATACATAGAAGACTCTACGAATCCAAGTGTTTATAAAATAAAATTTATTTGAAGAGGTCGATCTTCTTTTGCTCTAAGCCATTAATATTACTTTGGAAAAATGATTATTTTCAATTGTAACTATTTCATATTCAAGCCGTGACAAAAAAGTTTAAAACTTTGTATTCTTAGTTAGTTTAGGTTGAAATAGCTAGAGAGAGTGGCTCTCCCCCTACACTTGGGCCAAGGGCCTTTGTGATCATTGCTCCCATATGATGTTGCGATGCTTACTCGGGATGTTGTTGTTGTAATAGTAAACCGATTCCCAAAGAGTTTTTGGGGAGTGTTGCTGGAGTGACTGTCCTTGGCCAGATATAAATCTGGGTCGTTCCGGTTACGTAGACCCGACTGTCGGTTCCTCGGGATCAAACCATTTCGTTAATATAATGAACTTCGATAAGGTGGGCTGACTTCCAAAACGTCAATTGCATTGCATACGTACAAAGTTTAATTTTCCATAACAATGAACAATGTATACTTTTCCAAAACGCATCCGAAAAGTTATCGAAACGCATCGCTAGAGTAATCAGTGCATCAGAAACAAAGTTGATGGTTTCTTTTTTTTTATTACCATTGGGGTTTTACAAATGGAAAATTCTGAAATGGTGATCATTGGTTTATTAAATATTTAAAATATGCAATGGTATAGTTGCAATGTTTCGCAACTCTGTGTAAACAAACAGTTTAAATACCGCAGTAGAACATTATGCAAACATTGTATTGGTACGTTTTGGAAGTCAGCCGTTCTTTCGTTTATTTCCGCTAACTTCGTCGTCAAAAAATTATAAATGAATTTTAGCAAGTTTTAGCAATTCTCCGATTTGCGGCATGCGCCGACTTTGAACAGCGATTGTATTTTTATGGGAAGCTACTTTTCATGGCAGATATACACTCGGAGGTTTGCCATTGCCTGCCGAGGGGCGGCAGTTGTTAAGAAAAAACCTTTTTCCATATTTTTTGCGATGTTGTTTTGACCAGGGTTTGAACCCAAGCCCTGCGGAGTGGAAGCGCGCACTTCTTACCACTACACCACAGCAGTCGCTGCGCTCTTTATTCACATAGGAATTTCGGTGTATACGTTCCGAATAAATAGGGCTATTTTCGTCACGAAATTGATATCATAAATTTCGTGATTCTATTTCAGCTTTCGTCACTCGAAAATTTTACCTCAAAGAGGTTTTTTATTTGATATCAATCATTTTGGGATAGCAAATAATTTGTTCAAATTTTTAACATTGAATTAAATTCCATTGAATCATATAATTTTCACGAAATTGATATCATAAATTTTTTGTTTCTAGTTCAGCTTTCGTCACACAGGTGTTTTATTTGATATCAATTATTTTGGGATAGCAAATTTAAAATCAACGAAAAAGCAAACAAAAATCATAATGTTTTATTTTTCTCAAATAAATTGCTAAAAACGCTATCTAAATCAACATGAAAACCATAAAACTTGGTACCAACATTAGATACAATAAGAAACTGCATTTGTCTCATTCTCAGCGCTGCACACATGTGTGCACAATGGATATACAGGGTGTCCCAGAAGTAACGTGCCAAACTTTAGGGCAAGGTAGGTGGGGGGGTGAGCTCACTGATAAACAAAAAATTTTCAGGTAAAAGTGT